ATCTCTATTAATCTGTGTATTGCCATGTGGCAGTGGCTTACCAGAGATTCTAACCAGCGTCCATCTAAGGCGTAGGAGGATCCATGGCTTTTCTGACTCTGCTTTCTTCCACCCAGCATTCAGTTCTGTCTCCCTGCCTAAGTTCTGCCCTATTGCCAGGCCCAAAGCAGTTTTTTTATTCATTAACCAATATAAGCCACACATAGAAAGAAGGACCTCCTACACCATCTTGCTTCCACCTTCATGTGCTAGGACCACAGCATGCACCACTTTGGGGTTCATGCAGCACCATGGCTGATGATTGATCAGTCGAACCTTGGCTTCTTGTGTGCTAGGCTAGTACTCTACCAATTGGGTTATGCCCCCAGCCTCATAACCTTTTCGGTTGTTAAATATTGCTTTTTGTGTCTTTTTTTTTAACACTGTCAGATTTGACAATGAAAAGTGGATATTTAATAATTGTGCTGCTTTATTGTTACAGCGAGGAAAAGAACTACCATGGAGACAGCGCTTGCCCTCGAGAAGCTGTTCCCCAAGCAGTGTCAGATCCTTGGAATTGTGACCCCGGGAATTGTAGGTGAGAGAAATTAACAACTTATTTTTTCTTAGTTTAGTGTGGGGTCCCGTGGATTGGTGAAGTAGTTACAGCTGAAGAGCGGCACATTTACATCTCTGGTCATCTACAACAGCAGCAGTAGACATCTCTGTTAGTGTCTGTCAGATCGCAAGGCTGCCCAAGAGCGGCATGCAATCCCTGCCTTCCCTTAGCCTTTCACAGGGAAGAAAGGATCTTATTATACCTGCCCCAAATTAGGAAAGTCGTACCCCATTCCTGTCTGGTCTGTCATATGAATATGAGCAATACATATAGTGTAGAAAAGGATTGTTCCACGGCAGGGGACGGGACTCCTCTGCCTGCGACCCAGGATGTGGTTTTCAGCTACTTCTCCAGTACCACTGTTGCTGCCTCCATGCTTTCTGCTGTGATGGTCGTGCATGATGATCTGAAACTGCGCAAGCCTCCAGCTGAATGCTTCCTTTTGTAAGAGCTGCCTTGGTCGTCCTGTCTCTTCACAGCAGTAGTACAGTGGCCAAGACACTGGTCTTACCAGGCTTCTGGTCTTCACTGCTGATGCTTTGAGCCTAGCTTTTTCTTTATTTTTTGCCTGACAGTCCCTGCCAAAACCCCTATTCTGACTTCTGTGGTGCTAGGGTAGTTTTGCCAGGTCAGTGTGTTATACTGGCTGTTCTCTTTTTGTGTTTTGGCTCTTTCACTCGGTATAAATATTTAACACGTCTTTGAGATGGATTTGTTACAAGTAATTCCTTTAAAGATGTGTGTTTGCATGTACAGGTCAGAGGTTGCCAAGTGTCATCTTCTATTTTTCTTTTGAGACAGGGTCTCTCACTGAACTAGGCTCACTGTTCTAGCTAGACTGGCTGGTCAGTGAACTCCAGGGGTTTGCCTTTCTCTACTTCCCATTTTGCCTGACCTTAGTGCGTGTCTGGGGGTCAGGTATGGGAGAAGACTCTGGTCTTCATGCCTGTACAGCAGACATTTTATCAGCTGAGCCACGCCCCCCCCTTCATTTTACTGTTCGAGTCTTTCTATGATATAAATGGGACAAGATTTATTTTCCCATTCTTGTTTTGATAGGCTATGGTTTTTCTGGTCCTAGGTATAGTGAATGAGGCTGGTGTTTTGTGTAAATTTTAAGTTTCTCTGAAACTTAAGGAGTTGGACTTGCTTGGTTTTAGCACTGACCTAGAAAAGAACCACAAGTTTTCGAAGATTCTACCATTCTGTGCTCATGAGCAATGTTGGAGGGTGTAGTTGCTGTGCATCTTGCTGCTGGGTCACATTGACTGTGACCATTAGTCAGACTGGTAGATGTGAAGGTATTCTTTGACGCTCTCTAAGGACTAGTTGTGTGCTCACTGGGTACTTGTCTGGGACTTGTGACCGGGCTGGCTCACTCTGCTGCTGTTTTACTGTGGACTGTCCTGCATCTACTCACATTTAAACACTGTTTAGGTTTTCCTATTGCACTCTGTAGGGGTTGTTTGTTGTTGCTGTTGGAATAAAATACTGGCCAAATGCAGTGGGGTGGGGAACTTGCTTAGTCTGCAGTTGGAAGGTGCATCTTGGTGGGGAGTCATGCGGCAGAATCTTGAGGATGCTGGTCACACTGTCCTTACTGAAGGAGCAGAGAAGGACTGCTGCTGCCTGGCTGCGGGACTCCAGGCTCTGGGACGGTCTGCCTGAGGCACTAGCTCAGGCCTTACCCTAAACTTGCACAGTATGTGAATCATGTGGGGTTTGTCTTTTGGGTTCTTCTCTTTGAATACCACCATCCCCCACCACCACCACCCCTACACTGTGGTTTGCATTTCTAGAAACTTAACACTTAAAAAGATTTATGTATGTGGCATTGTGCCTTCATGTATGTGTGTACCATGTGCATGTGTGGTGCTCATAGAGACCAGAAGGGGGCATCAGATCCCCTGGAACCAGAGTTAGACAATTGTGGCCAGCTCTGTGGGTGACAGGACCTCAACCTTGGTCTTCTGGAAGAGCAGCAGTTCCCTTCATCTTGACTCAGTGACTGCAGACAATGTGCATACCTGCTTTTTCTCTGTTTATAAAAGCATTTCTTTTGTTTGGTTTTTTCCAGACAGGGACTCTGTAGCTTTGGAGCCTGTTCTGGAACTAGCTCTTGTAGACCAGGCTGGCCTCGAACTCACAGAGATCTGCCTGCCTCTGCCTCCCGAGTACTGGGATTAAAGGTGTGTGCTCAGCTTTTTGAAAGCTTTTCTTTCTGAACATATTTGAAAGTATGTTGCAGGGATCACAACCCTAAAATTGTCAAAGAACTTTGTTTGCTCTAAGAGCATCTGTTTGATAACAGCCTGACCTGCAGTCGGGAGGATGCAGTGGGATTGAGGCTCCGACTAGCTCTCTGTTTGATAACAGCCTGACTTGCAGTCAGGAGGATGCAGTGGGCTGATTAAGGCTCCGACTGGCTCCACTTCCTGCTGGCTGTCCTCCTGACACTGTTGTTTGCTCTCTAGTGACGCCGATGGGATCAGGTGGCAACCGACCTCAGGAAATAGAAATTGGAGAATCTGGTTTTGCTTTATTATTCCCTCAAATTGAAGGGATAAAAATTCAGCCCTTTCATTTTATTAAGGACCCCAAGAATTTAACACTCGAACGACATCAGCTTGCTGAAGTGGGTAAGTTGTTATTTATTGTTTTATTTACTTATTTGGTTTTTTGAGACAGGGTCTCACTATATAGTTCTGGCTGGCCTTGATCTCAGAATCTTCTTGCCTCTGCCTGAGTGCTGAGGTTTTACAGGTACATGGCACATACCCAGCATTGTTTTTATTATTAAATGCCCATTTGTTGATTAACTCGATCTGTTTTAATTCTGGCCAGCTAGTGACTGCTAGGCTACTGTTGACAAGGCTGGTGATTGGTCCAATTCATTTCAAATTGTTTTATTTGCCATAAAGTCCTAGATGACCAGAGATGAACATTTTTTATATAAGTATTCTGTTGCATGTATGTAAGTATATGTACTATGTGTGTGTGTGCTGCCCATGGAGAGCAGACGAGGACATAGATTCCCTGGAACTGGAATTATAGACAGTTGTGAGGTAAGATCCATGAATTCATGCATGCATTTAATTATAGTTGAATTTTAGCAATAATTTTGTCTTATTTTTGTTATTTAAAACAGAAAAACAACATTTAAAAATATCCCTAGTAACCATTTACTATACAAGTTTTTAGAGGATAAATCTTGGCGTTGGAAGAGAAGGCATGGACTTGAAGTGAGGAAATAAACAGTCAGGATTGCTCCCAAGTTTGAGAAAACAAGTGTGGATGAATTGAAGTAGGTTTAGTGTCAGACTCTGATGGGGAAACTTACTTGTTACCATAGGCAGCTGGCTACTCCAGCAGCGCAGTGTGAAGGCTTTTCATTGTCTACATCTGCAAAGTAGATGATTGGGCTAAAACTACCACTGTGCTCATTAGACTTACTTAGTGCTAACTCCACGTCTGTGTGTAGATGAGCTCGCCTGAAGATATACACCTCCGTGATGTATTAGCATGCAGACATATCACGTAATAATCAATTCCCCGCCTGTCAGGTTTCCATGTTGCTAATATACAAATCAGCTGTTGAGTCCTTGAACTTTTACAGGTTAGTTTCACTTTACAGACAAGGAAATAGTTTTGGAAAAGTTAAGCTTGTCCCAACTTAAAGACCAGCAATCGAAAAATGGGAAAGTTTAGGTTTATGGCTCAAAGGATGGAATATACATACTGAGAACAGCATTTACACTGTCCTGAGCGGTGTAAACAGGAGAGTAAGAGAGGCTGTGGAAGGGATGGAGCCGAGCAGTAAGGTGTGGGCAGCTAATGCTCAAAGCCCTGCATGTGGGCTCCGTAGAAAGCTGGACAGGTGCAGGCACTCTGTCCCCATAGTGGGACTATTTAGGAAACAGGCTTGAGCTTAGGATGGCTTCCAGGATGGTTAGACTACTTCCCCTTTTTCCATGTGCACGTATGTTGCAGGTCCATCTGTGTGGACACCAGAGGTTGATGTCAGGCGCACATCTTCTGGAGTGTCTCTTCACACCGACTTCTCTTGGATAGCCGTGCCATTGGCCCAAGTGATCACGTCCCTGGAAGTGACACCATTTCTAAACTAGACTTGAATGTTGTTCCACAAACTTCTTCCTACTCAGAAAAATGTGTTCCACTAAAGAAAAGGGTGGGTCTCAATGTGCCAGACTCATCTGTAAGAGGGAGGAACCTTCAGAACTGTGCTAACCCGAGGTTTACTATGTGGAGAGTTAGAACTGACCCAGGGGCAGAGTCTAAAGTTTTATTTGTCAGTAACTGATTGTCTTGTCAGCAGCTCCATGCTGTGATCTGAAGGTAAAGTTTCCTAGATTTCAGCACAAAAAAGAATTCCAGGATGAGCTAGTGTAAAGCAGAGTTAGTTTATTAAAGAAGGTTTTTAATATAAATTTCAGCATGGGGGTTGAGAGATATTCAGGGAAAGTGGGTGGGGGCTACTCAGAAAAAAAGTCACATGTCACTGTCTTTACAAAAACTGTCACTAAAGGATTGCTGAGAAGTTAAGCTGGCATCACAGGACGGTTCCTGGGATGCAGGAGAGATATTTGATAAGACAAACTCTAGGTCACTAGCATGGAGTTAGATGTTAATGTGCTAGGATTCTCAGTTGGTCAAGCCTGAGCATTGTGGTCAGCGGGGCTCCTTTCCCTTTCCTTCTAGCCTGCTTCAGTCTTGCTGAGGGACCTTTCCTTTTATCACCATGGAAGGCATGTGACTGTGTTAAATGGAAACATCTGTGTAGTTAGGGGCTGCGTTTTCTTCCTGTCTCAGAAGTCACCTGTTGTAATACTGTTCGGTGTCAAATGAATGCTGTGAAAACAGGTTGCCAGAGACTCAGGTGGATGCTTGGAGCTCTGGGAATGAGACGCTGCTGGTCCTCGAGCCCTGCTGCCTGCTGTGGTAGAGCTGCTTTTAGACCACGTTAGAGACTCTAGGTCACTGGCACGTGTGGAGTTGGAATGTGGAACCACCCAACATGGTCCGCTAGGCTGCTGTTCAGTCTGTAACTGTGTCCTTGCTTGTGTGAGGATTGACTGGATTATATTCAAATAGCTGTTTAGGTTTTTGTTAATGGAAACCAAGAACGTCAGTGCTGCACAGCACACACCAGTGCCAGCCAGTCAGCAGGAATAACTGACAGCTCGTTGTGTTTTAAGGCTGTCTTAGCTCTCGCTTCTCTGCAGGTCTTCTGGATAACCCTGAGCTTCGTGTGGTCCTTGTCTTTGGCTATAACTGCTGTAAGGCGGGAGCCAATAATTACCTGCAGCGAGTGGTCAGCACTTTCAGCAATATGAACATCATCTTGGCTGGAGGCCAGGTGGACAACTTGTCTTCGCTGACTTCTGAGAAGTAAGCCTGTGCACTTTGCTTTTCTCCCAGGGTGAATGGAAATAACTTCGGGTTCTTATTACTTGGATTTTTACAACAAATCTGAGGAATCAGTGTGGCATTGTATGCCAGTACTATGAGGCAGGAGAATTCAGTGCCAGCTTGGTCTACACTGATGACTTCCAGGCCAGACAAGGCTACAAAGTGACACCCTGTCTCAAAAAAATAGAAAAGAAAAGGAATTGCTAATGTACCAATTCATTCCATTTTGCTGTTGCCAAGAGGCTCACTGAACACAATTCTGCTTGCAGTCAAAAAACTAAACTTGTATTTATTGTCCTTTAAGAACATCAGAGTTAGGCTCCTTCAGCACTGACTGTTGATATATTTTACAGCTCTGGTCCTCCTTATGATGTTGCTCCTGCAAACAAAGAAGTCATTAATGAGGCTAAAATAAATGCATAAGGCTTATTTCAGTATAGAGTTGAGTTGCTGACTGGGAGATAGAGGTTTCATGGAAATAAGTAAGGCAGACTAAAGTTTTAAAGGAAAAAGGGAACTAAGGCAAGGTTGAAGCAGCTTGTTTTAAATAGGTATCAGTGCCCTTGTGTGGAAGTCATTTTGAATGAGCTGAAAATGGACTGACGCCAGGGTCTGTGCACACACTAAGCTGACACAGGAGTGGCCGCTGCAAGGTCAGCAGCAAGCAAGTCAAGTCCTGGGTTGGAAACTTGCAGTGGGACTTTGCAATCTTATCTCTGAACAGTTACTTGAAGACTGAATACTTTCGTCTGAAGCAAACTTCTACCTCTCAAAGATGGTCTCTGTGTCTCGCAAATTCTCTCTTGATCAGACTGTAGCCATTTAAAGTGTTTCCATGCTTCCTTGATAAGGAGGCACACGGGTCAAGTGTTCATGGCAAAACTTGTCAGGCTCTAACACTCGGGGAGGGGCGGCATCTCCCCCTCTCCAGGGAACAGCAGCCTGTGGTATCTTACTGGTATCCCCTGGCCTTCAGTTTTGGGACCTGTATACTGGATTTTATTTGTGTGTATGTATATGCACCACTGATGCTTGGTGCCCCGCTATCTTAGTTTCTTGCTCACCCGGAGGATCTCGTGCATTCTGTAGATTCAGTTGTTGATAAATGTAATATCGGCGTATGTTTCCTCCCAGTGGGTGTTCAGTGTGTGCTTTGTAGCTTAACTAACAAGGCATTTTCTTTTGTAAGCATAAAATGTTTGATTTAAAAAAGTCTTTATAGGGCTGATGAGGCACTCACCACCAGGGCTGAGAATGTAAATTCAATCCCTGGGACCCACACGGTGGAAAGAGAAAGGGTTCCTTTGCTCCATCCATATGCCATGACGTATGCATGCTCACCCAGGCTTCCACATAAAATCAGTGTCATAGAAAAGGGGCTTGAAAGGTTTGTTTCAAATAAATTTACTTGATATGTGTGTGTCTGTTACATGAGTGCAGGTGCCCTCAAGGACCAGAGACATTAGGTTATGAATCCCTGTTGCGGGGAGCGGAGAATCAGACTGGGATCTCTGTATAAGCAGAACATGCTCTTAACTTCTGAGCCACCTCTCCAGCTTTCCCCCTAGTTGTGAAATTTTAAAATTCAAACTCAGGCTCAAAAATTGAAATCATAGTTGTTTAAAGGCTAGTTAACACAAAGCTAAAACCTGCAGAGTTGAAAATCACCACCTTGATTATGTATTTTTGTTTGGTTTCTTGCGAAGCAGCCTGTTGGCGTCCTGGAGCTCACTTTGTAGACCAGGCTGACCTTCAACGCAGAGGTCCACCTGCCTCCCTGAGTGCACACCTGGACCACGATGATGTATTTTTTAATACATCTTTTTCATAATTTAACAGTGGATGGGGTGAGGTGCCATAATGTCAGTCATACTCCAGGGACAGGGCTGTCAGTTCGTGTCAGAGTGCTTCCCAGCAGCCCCACCACAGACCCAGTGCAGGTGTGTCTGGGAGGAGAAGTCTGGGGTAAAGCATACACTGCAGAGGCAGCAGAGCTCCCTCCCCAGTTAATCAGGAGGTGGTGATGGTTTTCTGTTTCTGTTTCCAGGAAGCCTCTGGATATTGATGCCACAGGTGTGGTTGGACTGTCGTTTAGTGGACACCGAATCCAGAGCGCCACAGTTCTCCTCAGTGAGGATGTGACTGATAACAAGACGGCTGAGGCAGCCATGCAGCGTCTCAAAGCCGCCAACATCCCAGAAGAGAACACCATCGGCTTCATGTTCGCGTGCGTGGGCCGGGGCTTTCAGTACTACAGAACCAAGGGGAACGTGGAAGCCGACGCCTTTAGGAAGTTTTTTCCCAGCGTCCCCTTATTCGGTTTCTTCGGAAATGGGGAGATTGGATGTGACAGGATAGTCACCGGGAACTTCATACTGAGGAGGTGTAATGAGGTAAAGGAAGAGGACCTGTTCCATAGTTACACAACCATCATGGCGCTCATTCACCTGGGGGCCTCCAAATAGGAGGAGAGTGGCTCTCACAGGAAGTAACTTTGGGGGTTTGCCTTTTTCAGAAAAACAGAAACTTGGGATATAAGTATTTCAAAACAAAACTTGTGCTTTGTAGCTTTGGTGCTCTGAGATCATGTTGGGTGGGTTTTAATACACAGATGAAGGACAGCTTTGTTCACAGATAAGAAAGTGAGGCTGGTGTCAGGCGCAAGCAAAGCCTCTGTGGCCAAGCACCTGGGAGGAGGCCACCAGGAAGATGGAGGTTGTAGACCTTGTAGTAGTTGATGAACTTTTAGCAGAATCATGACTTTATTTCCCCTTAAAGGTGAAAATTAAAGAGATGGTGGAGTCTTTCCTGCTTTTCAGTTTTCTCAGGAGCTGTAACAAATTTACTGACTTTACTTTTCTGATGAAGAACTACCTTTGTTTTATTACTATATAAAGTTGCTCTCGTAGGTAAGTTAGCATTCTTCTTCACGGTAAAGAGACTGCAAGGGAACAATCTTTTTCACATAGTTCTGAAAATTATATCACCATATTTTGGTTTTATACCAATAAAATACACTTGAAAACCCACCAACTAGTGTATTCATTGCTTTTGATGGGACATGAAGGTTGTCAGCTGCTCCCCTGGTGAGAGCCTGGAGCGGAGAGAGAAGTGAGGAAGCGCCAGTTTCCCCTGAGCATATAGAGCAGGCCGTGATGGGAGCTTGGATTTCACTTACTCACAGCCTGTGTTTCTCAGTAGGACTTACTGTGTTCTTAATAGTGGCATGACCTTGGACTGTCCCTTTCTCCTTACTGCTTGTCACCTTGGACACCACGGAGAAGTCAGTACTCTATGTGGAGAGGACCACAGGGATCCTGGGTATCTTCTGCTGGATTCCCATAATGAACCTGTGCTGACTGTTTCTAGACTTTGTACAGGGCAGACATTAATGTGGATTTGCACCAGGTCGTTGTTGGAGGATATGCTTACAAGATGACATTTCTGTATTGGTCAGTGGTTTCTACTAAAAGGACACTAGATAATTGGTAGGTAAAATCAAATACAAGTACTAAAAGAAATAATTGCTGGTTTGTCAAAAACAAACATGCCTAGAAATGGCAACTGCTGCAGATGTGTATAAAGCTACAAAAGTAATCAGATTTAACCAATGCCGAATGAGCACGGCAGTGAAGGTATGTCCACATACCGAGCTGCCTCTCAGTAGAGGCTCAGGAGATCGTCAGCAGCAAGGCTTTGAAATCACTGACTTCTCTATACCACCAAGTGAAAATGCAGCTGGGGGTCTAGTTTGTTCCAAAGGGCTGCCTCCCCGAATACATTTCCATCCCTTTGGTCCAAGGGAAAGGGAAGTGGAACCTTAGCTTGTAGTGCAGAAATGGTCCAGCAGGCAGAATGCTCCTGTGAAGGGTATGAGGGGCGTGTCCCGTAGGAGCCTTCTTACCTTAGTTTTCTCAATTTTGTTTAAAATTGATCTACGATGCCAGTAGCAAAAGACAAGTGGTTTTGCTACAAAATGAACATGCAAAGAATTTCAGTAAAAATAAACATAGAAATCTGAGTGCTTTCTAGACACTGGAAATTTTTCAATTAAAAAAAAAGGTGCTTTTTTCATTTTATAACCACAAAGTCTGGCTCAAATTAACCTCACTATAAATTCAGTTTTGATGGAAGCAGAAGACTCCCAACCCATGAAAATAAAGGTAATTTCCCTTATTTTCAGTGGTAAACTGGGTGTGGATTGGGTTGATGTTGGGCTGGAAATGTGAATGAAGCACATGTGTTCACAGGCAGAGCGACATTGTTATTGTGTACAGTTACCACAGGGCAAGCAGTGATGTGTACTGGATGTGCCTTTGTTATGTATGGATAGTTCACTTCTGTCCTGTGCCACATCTGGAGATAAGTTTCTACAACATGTGCTGGTAGAAAGTAAAAAATTCCTGGCAGAAGTCAAGAAAGTTATAGGGCAGGTGTTTTGGAGGTAAGAGGGTTGAGTGTAAGGTAAATTTTTGTCCTGTTTTTGTTCAGGTCAGTAGCAAACAAAACCAGCATGACGGCGCTCGTTTTAATAGAAAATGATTCGGCTGAAAAACAATCTGAGACGGCTGTTTTAACATTTTTCTTACTGTCCAAGGTTCGGTCACCCCGTGTTTACCCAGTAAACACACCTCGTCCACAGTCTCCCAAAACCAGAGCTACAGACCGCAGTGAATCACCCTGGCCAAGAAAATCCATCTTCAAAGTGATTACTAGGTTCTTGATGTTTTCAGCCCCTTTCTCCCTTGTGACAAAGATCCTTAAAACCATAGACACCCAGTTCTCATTCATGAACTGGATGAAGTGGAAGAGACCCTCCCTCCCCATCTTTAGAGTTGTGTACAGCTGTAGCCCTCTAGATAGTATTAGAGGTGTTAGGTTGGTTGGATTCTTTTGATTTTGTCTCACTTGGGAGTTGGTGGGCACTGCTTGTAAAAGCTGCAAGGATCCACAAATGCCAGCCAGAGTCCAGAGAAGATGGGTGGAGATGGAGAATTGACCATTTGAGGAGAGACATTAGGACATTCGAAAACAACCACACAAACACCCAGAGAAGCCACTGTTGTAACACCCTGACCTTTCTACTGTGCCTGCTTCCTAAGCTTAGGGACTGACTAACTGCCTGTCAAAGGATTTCCCAGCCAGTTTTGGGGAAACTGGCATAAAAGGAGATTGCTCTATAAATAGTTGAATCCAAGATGTGGAGGGAGGAGGGTTGTCAAATGACAAACCTGCAAAAGGTTTGGAGAGTAAACAAGTGGGTGTTAATTTTTTGTTAAAAGACAAACCAGCAAACCTAGAGATAGAGAGGGGGCAGAGGTGGGATGGGGTGGGGGATGATGACTCAAAAAGTCATTCCTAGACGCGATACAGGCAATTATTGGTTGCTGAGAAAGAATTGGTCTTTTCCAGGGATAAAGCCTCTGATAGACTAGCCACTCCCAAGAGGTCAGCCCTAAGCATACATGAGCAACACAAAATGACCTCAGTGCGTTGTATTCATAAGTGTGTGTGTATATATACATACATATGCATACACACACACACACAAAATACATGAAATTCTCAAAAAAATTTAAAAAGCCATCAAATAAGAGAAACAAAAACTACAGCCATTAAAACAGAAAGTGCAGTTGTGAACTCCAAAAGGGAAAGACTCTAAGATGGCGGACTGTGGGGAAGAGGCCGGTCTGAGACTCCTTACCGTGTGATCGCAGTGCTAGAGTCCGCAAAGTACGAAGTGAAGACATCAGCGGTTGTCACAGGTCCACGGGGAGAGGGAGAGTTGAATTTGGGAACAGGAGAACTGTTTAGGGAAGGAGACTCGGTGACCTGTAATGGTGGACACACAACAGGCGTTGGTGACCTGTGATGGTAGACACACAACAGGCGTTTGTCAAAAAGCATTTACTAAAGCAGCGGAGTAAAAGGAGGCAGGTGGGAACTACACCTGCTCACATTTCTTGAGCAAGCCTCCACATAACTATGGAGTCATAGCCTGCCCAACCTTCTAGAAGCTGAGAATAGTCACGAGTCAAAATGCATTAAACACACTTCACCTAACAAAACCTCGTGACTTAGCCACACAGCCCATGGTGCCCACGGCTATCCTGATCATGGACTGAATGGAATCGTGAGATAGTTTGCTGCTGATGGCCAGCACCCTTGGGTAGGACTGCTTTCCAAGACTTAACGGCTAAGAAAATGAGAATTAAGGTGTTACCTTCTCTCACCGTACGGTTTACTTTCTGCCTTTGTGTAAGGTGACTGCAATAGTGCCCTTCACGGAGTGTGCCTTCAGTGATCTCTGTGACCTGTGAAAAGTAAGATTGTACTTGCACACAATACAATACACAATACAATATGGTTTTCCACATATACATGTCCACCTACCCGTTTATCTGCACGTGTGAACCTGCAGTTTATGCTTGAGGTGAACTTACCTCAGACATCCGCATCTGCAGCAGCTGCCCTGCAGCACCTGTGCACAGCGGGTCAGCATCCCCATGCTAGTCTTCCAAGTGCACACCTCTGTCTTCCTGCTGCCTCAAGTTCTAACAAGCGTAATGACTGTTCTAAAATATCCACGATTACAAAGGCTGGATGAGGGTCCAGCCCAGGGCAAGTCGCTGATAGCAAAGACAGCAGCAGATCCCAAACATGGTAGAAATAGCAAACACAAGGGAGAATCCTGGAGACAGAGCTGCTCTGGTCAGCAGTCCCCAAGGACCTGTTGGAGGCCACATGCAATAGGGAATATGGGCTTGGAGGCCGGCAACACAGCCCAGCCATGCAAGGAGCAGAACTGATCCCGTAATAGTGTCCTGTGATCTCTGCACAATACCACTCTTAAAAAGGAAAGACAGAAAAGCATAGGTTTGGAAGCCAGACACATCTGGGCTTAAATTCTTGCTCTATTAGCGTCTAGGTGCAAAAGTTTGACCTCTGAGCCTCCATTTTCCTTTGTATAGAAAGTACCTCTGACTTGAGACTCTCAGGAACTGTCCCTTCTGAAACAACCATGGTGACAAGCACACATAGGCACAGGAGCTCGTGATCAGGTCGCAGGCATTAGGGACACCATGCAGTACATGCTGGGACGATGCTGTGGGTTTTCTAACTGAACCAGTAAGCAGGGTTGCCCAGAGTCCTCATCCCAGAATGCACCTGTTCTGCTCCCTGATGGACTGAATCGAGGCTTTGGGGGTGGTGGTTATCAGCACCAGGTTTGACTATGGCCTCTGACCTTTGTAATTTTCACAGCACACGTCGGAGCTGAGGCTGTTGAGTCTGTCCTAGTGTCTGTAAGGGGCTCATCTCAGAGGCCAGCTCTTATCTCAGCCTGAAGCCCTCGTCTCCTTTGCTGTGCTATGGCCTTAGACACTAACATCGTTTGGCCAGAGAAATGCCTGGTCAGATAAGTTAATTTTGTAAACTAAGCCCAGAACTCATCCTATCTTGGTTTTTGGTTGTTGTTATGGTCTGGTTGTCTTTTTTCCTCCATTAAAAGACTCATTTTGGGCTAGAAAAATGGTTCAGCAGTTAAGAGCACTGGCTGCTCTTCCAGAGGACCCAGGTTCAATTCCCTGCACCCACATTGCAGCTCACACCTGTCTGTAACTCCAGTTCCAGGGGATCCGATATCCTCACACAGATATACATACAGGCAAAACATCAATGCACATAAAATACAAATAAATAAATCTTTAAAAAAATACCCATTGTATTCAGGCACAGAGGCGCACACCTGTAACACCAGCGCTTGGGAGGTGGAGGCAATGGGATTGTTTCAAGCTTGAAGCTAGCTCAAGCTCCACAGCAAGTTCCAGGGCATCCTGAGCTCTGGAGTAAACAACTAATATGCCAAGAAAAAAGCAATTTGAATTTAAATTTCCCCAGTGTAGGGTGTATTTTATACGTAGAAAGGCTGTGAGATTGCTTCCTATTCTTTTATTATGTGTATGTGGTATGGGAAGGGTTCTGTATTCATGGGGTCAGAGGGATAGGACCCTCGGGAGCTGGAGTTACAGGTGGCTGTGAGCTGCAGCCCAGGTGCTGGTGGCTGAACAGTAAGATCAGTATGTGCTCCTAGCCAGCACCATCTTTCCACCTCCTCTTCTGATTGCCACAAATGTGTCTTTGCATATAGGGAAGGGATAAGCATGTTTTATCTGTGCACAGTTTGTAAGGGACACATCCTCTTGGCGTCTTGGAACTGATGATGTTGAGCACATGAGAGCTCAGGGCATCATCTGGTGACATCATTCATGATGGCGTGTCCTTCATTGTGAAATACGTAACAGAATTTACCATCTTAACTACTGTCAAGTTCAGTGACATTAAGTAAAATCATATAATAGGAATAGTCATCATCTCCAGGAATGTTTTATTATCCCAAACTAAACCTTACACACTAAACAATAACTCTCTCTATGGTCCCTGGTAACCACAGTTACGATTTCTGTCTCTGTAGGTCTGACTGCTCTAGCATCTCATTTAGTGGAGTTACACAGTGCTTACTTTGGCATCTGGCTTTTTCACTAAGTGTAATGTCCTCAGAGTTCAGTCATATTGTAGTATTAGAATTACATTCCCTTTTAAGGCTAAGTAATGCTCCATTTATGTGTATCTACTTATCAGTTCATACATCACCGGACAGAGGAATGACTTTCCACCTTTTGACTATTACAAATTCAGCTCCTATGAGTGCGGATGTAAAGATATTTGCTTATGTTTGTAACCCCCAGTAGTCAACTGTTGGATAAAACAGTGATTCTGTGGGCTGGAGAGACGGCTCAGAGGTTAAGAGCATTGACTGCTCTTCCAGAGGACCCGGGTTCAATTCTCAGCACCCACACGACAACTCACAATTGTCTGTATCTCCAGTTCTAGGGGATCTGACACCCTGACACAGATATACACACAGGCAAAACACCAATGTACATTAAATAAGTAAATAGATCTTTTAAAAAATGATGAATCTGTGTTTTTTTTTTTTTTTTTGGTTTGGTTTTTGTTTTTTAAGACAGGGTTTCTCTGTAGCTTTGGAGCCTTCCCTGGAATTAGCTCTTGTAGATCAGGCTGGCCTAAAACTCAGAGATCCACCTGACTTTACCTCCCAAGTGTTAGGATTAAAGGTGTGCACCACCACCCAGCTGTGATTTTGTGGTTTTAAGACCAGTCATTCCATTTATCACAGTGTTTATCACAGTGACCATAACATTTTATATTCTTACCAGCAATATACAAGGGTTCCAGTTTCTTTTTTTGTTTGTTTGTTTGTTTTGTTTTTGTTTTGTTTTGTTTTTTTGAGACAGGGTTTCTCTGTAGTTTTTGGAGCCTGTCCTGGAACTACCTCTTGTAGACCAGGCTGGCCTCGAACTCACAAAGATCCGCCTGCCTCTGCCTCCTGAGTGCTTGGATTAAAGGCATATGCCACCACCACCCGGCCCAAGGGTTCCAGTTTCTATACATCATTGCCAACACATGGTCATTAAACAATCCACTGCCCTAATGTGTTAGGGGTCCACAATTCCCTTTTTATCTCCCCAGTGGTCAGTGATGCTGAACACATCACATGCTCTTGGAGAAATGTCTATTGATATCCTCTGTCAATTTTTGAACTGGGTTGTTTTTATTTGTTAAGAGTTATTTATTCAGGATTATTTCTTGTTATTAATTTAAGTCGCTATTAAAACAATAGGTTCATTATAACATTTTCATATATGTATATCATTGATATAGCATTTTCATATATGTGTATCACTGAATGTTGCTCACATTTGCCCACTATGACCTTCAACCCTTGCACCCTGCCCTGTTTCCCTCCCTCCTCTCTGTAGTGGGATTAGTCCCTTGAGCGCCGGCAGAGTAACTCCATCTTGCAGTAAGATGCTATTTAAATGTTCTGCGTGCCTTCTTAGAACTGGTCAGTGTTTGCTGAGCTCAGCAAACCTCAGCAAAGGAAAAGGCAGCATCCCCATGGGCGCTAACCTTCCTAGATCTGCTTTGTCTGTGGCTTGTTGCCTGAGCCAGCGGTCACCTCCCCCGACTTAACACTAGGTAGCACTCTGAGCCCGAGTTTGTACCAGTTCTGATGCCAACTAAACCATACGGAATCGGAGCTCAGTGAGTGAGGCTTGGCCGTTTGGTGAGCCTGTGAGTCCCCTACGGTCCTCTAAGTGACCCCAATGAACTCATTCATCACGCCAAGGTGAAACTGGCAGACTCTCTCTTAGGTCTCCCTGTGGTTGTTTGAGGTAAATAGATGCTTCTTGACGTTTTTCCAGGAAAGTCCCATGTCCCTCAGAAAGTCTCCTGTCTGTTTCATGCACACGTATGCACACGTGAAATGAATTCTCTGCACTAATCCCACAGCTGCAGGGGTCGAAAGTCTCTTATCCTGTCCTGTGGACTGCCTCTTTGTAGACAGTGTCCTTTAATTTCATCAAGTTTTAGTTTTGATGAAGTCCAGTTTATCTAGATTTCCTTAGTTGACTATGTTTAAGTGTTGTCTACAAGAGACCATTGCCAAGCCCAACTTTGTAGAGTACTTCTCTGAGTTTGCTAGGAGTCTTAGAATTTTGGGTATTATGTGGAGTCTCGCTCACCCATTTTGGGTTCATATGGTGCTAGTGGTGCAGCTTCGTTTTTTTTAGTAGATTCATACCCAGCCTGGCATGGTGAGTTGAAAATTGACAGATCCATCGCCCTGGGGATTCTTTCCAGGGCTGTCTGCAGTCGTTACCTTAGGAGCCCACTCACCTATCTTAGTATAAAGGTAAATGCACACGGGGTATCCTGAAGCTTCTACCACACAGCACAGCTGACTTTGACCAAGTGAAGGTGTGTGCAAATGTGCGGTGCTTGGACAGCTACGACTGTCCATTTTATGGGCACGGCAATGGACACGTGGGTGATTGCCACTCCCTGCTTGCAGGGAGGGATGTTGTTGTGAGTATTTGGGTTCATCATGCAATCCCAAGCTTTCACTTACTTGGGTAGCTGACTAGGAAGGGAACTGCTGGGCCATACAAACTTTAAGAAACTGTCCACACCACTTTCTACTTACAACAGCAACGAACTGTGTGTTCCTGTATCCTACGGACTTTAAAGGAATAAATCACAGCAGCGGTAGTATGTTAATTGGTATTTTGACTTTTCAATCCTTTAATGGATTACAGTGTCAAGTATTTTTCATGTGCTTAGTAGCTGTTTGTGTATTTCCTTGGTGAAATGTCCACACATTAGTTCAGTTGTTTTCTATTTCTGAGTTGGTCTCAACTTCAGTTGAACAAGTTCATATAGATATATATATGCATATACATATACATTCATTCATACATTCATACACACGTTTTTCAAGACAGGTTTTCACTGTGTAACAGACTTGTCTGTCCTGTAACTCCCAGAGATCCACCTGCCTCTGCTTCCCAAGTGCTGGAATTAAAGGTGTGCAATACCACCACTCCAGTAAGTTCTTGTATGTTTTATGCCATCTGGCAGATATTTATTTGATTTGCAGGTTATTTTTTCTTGTGCCTGGTATTTCATTTTTACCAGTGGGAATTTGTCATTTGCATACAGTCTGGTATACCAAGTGTTTTACTGATTATGCTTTCCTATTCTGCCTTTGCCTAATCCAACGGCATGAAGACTTTCTCCGAAGAGACATACTTTACTTCGCACATTCACAGGCATCTTGAGTTACTTTTATGTATGGAACGAATAAATTCATCTTCTTGCATGTGGATGTTGGATTGTCACAGCACCCTTTTTAGACTGCTGATTAGGGTCCCGTGTCTCGAGCCCGTACCATCTTTATGCCAACACCAGGCTGCCTGTGTTATGGTAGTCTTACTGTAAGCTGGAGGTCAGACTATGTACGGCCTTCAATGTGCTGTTTCATCATTGCTTTCTATTCCAGGTCCTTTGTGTCCCCAGAGGTGTGCTATAGAACCCTGACAATTGCTACAACACCTGCCGGGACTTACTGGGATGGCATGAGTCTACAGGCAATCTGAAGAGAGGTGGCATCTTAATGTTCTATTTTCCTAACCCTTCAACACAGCAACCCCTGCACTTAGGTGGTGCTCTGTCTTTACTTAGGGTTCGCTGTGTAGGTCTGTATCAGTTACCTTCTATGGCTGTGATTAGAACACTGCAGCCAAGGTAACACACAGAAGGAAGGGTTTATTTGGCTTAGAGTAATGGTTTGCCCGGCTGATGGTTCCAGAGGTTTTAGAGTCCAGCATGGCAACAAGCTGTAGACATATTGTCAGGGACACAGCTCAGAGCTCACATCTTGATCCACCAGCAGGAGATGGAGAACACACTGGGAAGGGCACAAATCTTTAAAAACCTCAAAGTCCCCTCCCAGTGCCACATCTCCTCCAACAAGGCCACCCCCACCCTGATCCTTCCCAAATAGTTCCACCAATTTCTGACCAAATGTTTGAACACATAAGCCTACGGGGCCACTCTCATCCAGACCACCACAGGTCTCACTACTTTTCATGGTTTCTTTTCACTACCTCTGTGTGTTTTGAGATGTGTTACGAATGGTGTGTTATTTTAAAAGTTTCTTTATCCAGCAGTTTCCGATATATGGAAATATACTTTATTTTTAATATTAACCCTCTATCTTGTAGGATTGATAAAGTACCAGCTGGTCTTCTATACTGCACTCTCTTCAGTATTTCTAGATAAACCTATGTAGAATTGAAAGCTTGACATAAGTTCAGCTATTTGGGGGTGGACTGTCATTGAAAATATATTTCTATACAAATTCAGTCAATAGATATGGAACTATTTGAATTATCTTTAATGAAACTAATTTTCCATATTACTCTTCAGATTTTTTTTTTTGAAAACAGGGTGCCTTGTAGCCTAGGCTAACCTCATTGTAGCTGAAGATATTCTTGAACTTTTGATCTTCCTGTCTGTATTTCTTCGTAGGGGCTGTAACTATAGGTTCACATAACCATCCCTGGTTCTATGCAGTGCTGAGGACAGAACCAGGGCATCTTGCAGGCTAGGCAGGCACTTGATGCACGAGCTGCATCTCCAGCCCCTTACATGACCCTTCTTTGGTAGTTTTGGTCCTTCAAATAGTTTGTCTATTTAATTTGAACTATGCCAAATCTCCTATCACCCTGTTGTAATATTGGTAGGAATGTCACCTAACCTTTATGTTGTTGATGTTGCTAATTCCTGTCATTTTTCTCCCCCTTAATTAACAGTATTTTTTGGACACAGGGTGTCATCTCAGCCTGGGTCTTACTGATGCAGCGAGATTATGTGGCCAGCAAACCCCAGAGGTCTTCCTGTTTCTGCTTTTCCTGCAGTAGGACTATAGGAGCCTGCCACCAAGGCCAGATTTTTTAAAGACTTATTTTAAAGTGTGTGTGTGTGTGTGTGTGTGTGTGTGTGTGTGTCTTTGTGCGTCTGCGCACACTGAAAGCAGAGGTCAACCATTGCTTCAGTTTGTCCATTTCTCATTGTTTTCAAGTAAGAAGAAGGGAATCTAGCACTGGCTGTTCTAGTGTAGCCAGAAACCTCAGGAAAGCTTAAAAACTGATTCATCCACAGTTCTCCCAAAGATTGGCTCACTCCTAAGGTAACTCCCCGTCACTGCCGTCCCTGCACAGCCCACATCAGAAGGCTTCTGGAACCCTGATCCTCAGACCTGCCGTAGCACATTACAGCTGACATAATCATTTCAGTGTTGAAATGCATATAATTTCATAATATTTTGGGGAAAATATTACTTCTGACACACTGATAATAAATTTATCCTCACGTACAAAATAATGATTAACACAAAACCATGGAAAAGTTCTTAGGGTCACCCGTTTTTGAACGCCTTTGATCACAAGTCCAGACACACAGCAATGAAGATCTCATCCACACCTCTAAACATTCCATTCTTCGTGTACTCACTGTGGTGGGCGCCGGTGTTGTTTCTCTCTACCAGGCTGATCTCGCACTGGACTGAACTGGCCCTCTGAAAATGGCCCTTCCTGCATCAAAGAGGAGAGAAAAACATGGGAACGGGGTAATTGGAAAACACGCCAGAAGAATCAGAAAGAAAATGAAGCTTGAGTATTTGGAAGCTCATTCTCTTTCTAGAACTGCCTAGAATTGTAGGGATGCCCTAATGTTGTACCCTCATTTAAGCACCCCACCAGCAGAGGCCACAGTGACACTCGGGGAGCTGCTGAGCGTACGGCATGGCACAGATGCTGCTGGGGTGCTGCAGAGCCTACGGCGTGGCACAGATGCTGCTAGGGGTGCTGCTGAGCCCACGGCGTGGTACAGATGCTGCTGGGGTGCTGCTGAGCCTACGGCGTGGCACAGATGCTGCTTGGGGGGCTGCTGAGCCCATGGCGTGGCACAGATGCTGCTTGGGGGGCTGCTGAGCCCACGGCGTGGCACAGATGCTGCCTCAGCTGTTTCTGGAACACAGATCACTTCCCACCATCGTGGACCCTTTGTGTACCATGGGTGGCTTTAGTGAACAATTCTGATTCATGACATTAAAATGCAATCAACTTAGGGTCATCTGACTATAACCTTACATAGAACTGCTCTAAATATTAAATGAAAATTGAAATGTAAAAGTGGTTTATTTTTTTCAATATGCCAAACCTAACTTACACTAGTAAAAATGAATTCACATCATCTAGCCATAGCAACATGACATTTTCTAGAAGCACACCAACCTCTACCCTAAAATGCCAATTCTAGCAGATGTTCTAGCATTGGGGTTTGGGGGCACTGTGGACCTCATTCAAGTGGCATCATTTCCTAAGTTATGGAAAATCCAAAAGGCCCTCAGGTCAAAGCACTTTCAGCTACCGGTGGGTTCAGTCAAAAGAATTATTTGTTTTCATTCTTTTTTCAATTATTAAATATTTCTTCCTCCCTTTCTTTTCCTCCTTCTCTGTCATGGTGTATGTGTGTGTGTGCATGTGTATATGTGTGTATGTGTACATGTGTATGTATGTGTGTGTGTTTATGTGTGTGAGTGTGCATGTTGTGTGTGTTTGCTCATGTGGAGACCTGAGGAGGATGTCAGTGTCCTTCTCTATCATTCCCTACCTAACTCGCTTGAGACACGGTCTTTTTTTAAAGTTCTTTTAAAATTGATTTTTATTGAGTTCTACATTTTCCACTACTTCCCTTCCTGCCTCTCCCCTCCCCTTCAACCCTCTCTCATGGTCCCCATGCTCCCAATTTATTCAGGAGATCGTGTCTTTTTCTACTTCCCATGTAGATTAGATCCATGTATGTCTCTCATTGTTGTCTAGGTTCTCTGTGATTTGGGGACTGGTTTTCTTTCCTTTATGTTTAAAAACCACTTGTGAGTGAGTACATATGATAATTGTCTTTCTGGGTCTGGGTTACCTCACTCAATGTGAAGTTTTCTAGCTCCATCCATTTGCCTGCAAATTTCAAGATGTCGTTTTTTTTTTTTCTCCTGTGTAGTACTCTATTGTGTAAATGTGCCACATTTTCTTTATCTATTCTTTGGTCGAGGGTCATTTAGGTTGTTTCCAGGTTCTGGCTATGACAAACAATGCTGCTATGAACATAGCTGAGCACATGTCCTTGTGGCACGATTGAGCATATCCAAAAGTGGTATTGCTGGGTCTTGAGAAAGGTTGCTTCCTAACTTTCTGAGAATTTGCCATACTGATATCCAAGGGGGTTGTACCAGCTTGCATTCCTACCAGCAATGCAGAAGTGTTCCCTTTTCCCCACAACCTTCCCAGCATAAGTTGTCATCAGTGTTTTTGATCTTGGCCATTCTTACAGGTGTAAGATGGAATCTCAGAGTTGTTTTGATTTGCATTTCTCTGATGACTAAGGCTGTTGATCATTTCCTTAAGTGTCTTTCAGTCATTTTAGATTCCTCTGTTGAGAGTTCTCTGTTTAGGTCTATACCCCATTTTTTATTGGATTATTTGTTCTTTTGATGACCAATTTCTTAAGTTTTTTGTATATTTTGGAGATCAGACCTCTGTCTGAGTGGGGTTAGTGAAGATCTTTTCCCATTCTGTAGGCTGTCGTTTTGTCTTGTTGAGCATGTCCTTTGCTTTACAGAAGCTTTTCAGTTTCAGGAAGTCCCATTTATTAACTGCTTCTCTCAGTGTCTGTGCTACTGGGGGTTATATTTAGGAAGTGTTCTCCTGTACCAATGAGTTCAAGTGTACTTCCCACTTTCTCTACTATGAGGTTCAGTGTGACTGGATTTTGAGGTCTTTGATTCATTTGGACTTGACTTTTGTGCATGGTGATAGATATAGGTCTATTTTTATTCTTCTACATGTTGATATCTAGTTATGACAGCACCATTTGTTAAATATGCTTTCCTTTTACCATTTGATATTTTTTGCTTCTTTGTCAAAGATCAAGTGTTCAAAGGTGTGTTAATTAATATCCAGGTCTTCTATTTGGTTCCATTGGTCCTCCTGTCTGTTCTTATGCCAGTACCAGGTTGTTTTCAGTACTGTAGCTCTGTAGTAGAGTTTGAAGTCAGGGATTGTGATGCCTCCAGAAGCTCTTTTATTGTACAGGATTGTTTTGGCTATCCTGGGTTTTTTGCTTTTCCATATGAAGTTAAGTATCACTCTTTCAAGGTCTGTGAAAAATTTTGCTGAGGGGCTGGAGAGATGGCTCAGTGGTTAAGCATTGCCTGCTCTTCCAAAGGTCCTGAGTTCAACTCCTGGCAACCACATGGTGGCTCACAACCATCTGTAATGAGGTCTGGTGCCCTCTTCTGGTCTGCAGACAGAATATTGTATACATAAGTAAATAAATAAATATTTTTAAAAAAGGAAAAAAAAAAAGAGAGACACCATGACCACAGCGACTCTTGGAAAAAAAAAGTTGCTGAGATTTTGATGGGCATTGCATTGAATCTGTAGATTGCTTTTTGCTAAGATTGCCATTTTTATTATGTTAATTCTACCTACCCAAGAGCATGGGAGATCTTTCTATTTTCTGGTGTCTTCTTCAATTTTTTTTTTTTTTTTTTTTTAGGATTTAAAGTTCTTGTCATACAAGTCTTCCACTTGTTTGGTTAGAGTTACTCCGAGATATTTTATGCTATTTGTGGCTATTGTGAAGGGTGATGTTTCTCTGGTTTCTTTCTCTGCCTATTTATCATCTGTGTACAGGAGGGCTACCGATTTTTTAAAATTAATCTTGTAGCCTGCAACATTACTGAAAGTGTTTATGAGTTGTAGAAGTTCCTTGGTAGAATTTTTGGGGTCACTTATGTAAACTATCATATCAGCAAACAGTGAGAGTTTGACTTCTTCTTTTCTGATTTGTATCCCCTTGATCTCCTTTTGGTGTCTTATTGCTCTAGCTAAGACCTCAAGAACTATATTGAATAGATATGGAGAGAGTAGACAACCTTGTCTTGTTCCTGATTTCAGTGGGATAGCTTTGAGGAGTTTCTCTCCATTTAGTTTGATGTTGGCTATTGACTTGCTGTATATTGCCATTATTATGTTTAGGTATGTTCCTCGTATCCCTGATCTCTCCAAGGCCTTTATCATGAAGGGATGTCGTATTTTGTGAAAGCTTTTTCGGCATCTAATGAGAGGATCATTTTTTTTTCCATTTGTTTGTATGTTCAATTATGCTGACAGATTTTCATATGAATCATCCCTGCATCTCTGGGATGAAGCCGACTTGATCATGGTGGATGATGGTTCTGATGAGAGACATGGTCTTTCACTGAGCCCCGAGCTCATCACTTCAGCGAGGCTAGCTGGATAGTGAGCTGGACCCATTCGTCTCCACCTGACCCCAAACACTGGAGTTAAGGGCACATGCTGCAATGCCTAGATTTTATGTGGGCGCTGGAGGTTCAAGCTCACACCTCCTGTTTGTACAGCAAGCGCTCCGACTCACGGCCCTCTTTCCAGCCCCTCCCTTTTTATTTTTGATGACAGAGGTCGGGGTTGCTGGTCACCTTCTCTCAGACACTGCAGATAGCACTACTGCCTCGCCTCGGCCCCATGCCTCCTAAGTACTCGGTGGTCAACTCAATGGCAAAGTCTTTGCAGACTTGCTGTCTTTCTGTGATTTATGAGGCTATGCAGTGCCCATATTTTTTCTTTACCCTGCTTGACATTTGCTGCATCTGTGGGTAACTTAAAAATTCTGGACATCTTAGCTTTCTCTCTTCAAACAACTGTCCCAAGTCTTTTTTCCTCAAACTCCAAAAAAAAAAAAAATGAGTTAAACATAGTCACATTGTTTGCCAAGCTTCTTGATCTTTACAAGCTTTTAGTTTACAGTTCTTTTTTCTTAGGTTGGGGCAGCTTTTCCTTCATCCATTCCTTGTCCTCCAGTGTTCTTCACTCTCTCCCCCGTTTCCTTCGTTGCTCCCCTTGCCATTTCTAATTTGCTTAAAAACACACGCTAAACTGAACTAAAATATATTAAATATTTTAATGCTAATTTCATTTTCCAACTTCTATATTGTTCTTTGCAAAATCTGCTCTTCATATAATTTTTAAAAGATTTTAGATTTATACTTTATTTTTGTGTATGAGTGTTTTGCCTGCATATGTGTATATGTGCCACGTGCATGCCTGGAACTCAAGGCGTTCAGAAGAGGGGTCAGATCCCCTGTAACTAGAGATACAGATGGTTGTGGGCTAACATGTGGGTTCTTAGAGTCAAATCCAGTATCTCTGCAAGAGCAACCAGTGCTCTTAACCACTGAGCCATCTCTCCAGCTCCTGTTTCTTTTTCATACATATTAAGCATACTTATTTTGTATCATGGGTTTGATTCTCCCCCTCCCCCACAGAAGAATACTTTGAACATCTAATTCTACTTCCAGTTGTAACAGGAAATTTGGAGGATACATTCAAGCCATAGCAAACTCACAGTTACTACAGCCAAACCTAGATTGTCCGAGCTAATATCACACAAAGTCATTCAATAGCCAATCAATGTCAGACAAACATTCCGAGTCATCAGTACAGTGATTAACAAGGGAATCAATCAGCTTGCCATCCCTTAGCACACTGTGCTGGAAGATAGGCTTGGAATCAGAAGAGCTCATTATCCAGCTTTCCCAAGATCAGCCCTAATTATCGGCGGTGCTCTTCTTCCATGTCAGTGACGGATCTTCCACTGTGAGGTGTAAAGATGAAGGCAAAGAACAACAGGGGCGTCTTCAAGAGCTGATCTGCACTTGTGTCTGTCCATCAGTTGAGAATATTTACAGTCTGGGCCACTCTATGCTCTTAACCTTTTCCCCACTAGACATTAGAACTACCGTGGGCTCAGAACAAAGATCCTCTTAACGTTTGTGACTGGAGGCTTCTTTCCTTTTTATCGTTGATTTTTTAAGGCAGGACCTCTCTGGTAGAGGCGAGCCTTGGACCACTGGCATGGGCCACCACTCCTGGCTTTAGAGGTAGGTTTCTCTCTCAATGAACATTAAACTCTTTTATATATATATATAGTCTTCTTTTCCTCACACCTATGTGTCTATGCTTTCTACCCCCAAAATAAGGCTTTGGAGGTTTCTTTTTGAGTGTTCCCTGGTAGCCAGGCTTGCCTGGAACTTATAGCAATCATCCTGTACCAGCCTCTCAAGTGTTAGGGTTATAGGTGGAGGTCACTATGCCTAGGTCAAAGGCTATCATTTAGCACTGTGTAGGACACTTCAGATTAGAATTTTCTTCTTTTTGTGCCAGACTTTTGAACTTATAGCAATCCTTCTGCCTCTGACTTCCATGAGCTAGAATTACAAACTTAAAACACTATATCTAGCTTTAGGTCAGAATATTCCTAAATTCTGCCTCCTCTCTGCAGAGCAACTTTGCTCTTTTATGAAAATTTTGTCACTGAATGGGATATAACATTGATATCTTTACAAGTTCAAAGGTTAATAAAGAAATCCCGTTGCAACAACTGTAGCAATAGTAAAGTTCTATAGATTAAAAAAATACACAACTCACTCTTAGCAAGTCCCAGCAGAATATTAGATTCCCTTATGAATCCTTTAGTCCATGTGAAACCCGCTTCTGGCTTTCTACCTTACAGCATATGGGTGAGCTACATTTGCTAACACTTTTTGCAATCGTGTAGGTCTGTGAAAGGGATTCCATCAGGGGTTGTGCCATGTGTGGGACGGATCATTTTGAGTGCGAGGCACTCTGGAACATTCCCTCCTTCTGGCAATGCAACCAACAGCATTTGTGGTGACTGCTCTGTATTCTGAGTCTTCATGACTCTGTTTAGCACAACCATATTGAACCCACGCATTAACCCATAATGATTACATATGAGGAATAAGAAAGCTTTGATTTTTAAACCATTGAACTGTAAGGTTGCATCAATCTTTTTCTGTTGCTATACAAATACCCTTGATAATTTACAAAGAACGGATGTTCATTTAACTCATGGCTCCAGACACTGAGGTGTCTAAGACCACGGCATTGACAACTGTTCATCAGGTAAGAACCATCTAACTGGGTCATGGTATGGCACAGGGTGTCACATTGTGAGACCGGGCCAGCAAGTCAGACAGTGCTCACTTGAACATCAAAGTCTTCCAATGATAAGTCCTCTGTCTTCTATTATGCACTAAAGGATTCATCCATGCATTCTGCAGAGCCTCATGGTCCAATCGTCACCCAAAGGTCCAACATTTCAAATACCATTAACTTAGGACTTTTGGAAACTTGTTTCTAATATATGAAATGTTAAGAACAAATTCATGTCATAGTAAGTAGTTGACTGTAGTTAATACTACAGTCAAAACCAGATGGTCAGAGGTCATATTATACAAAGTAGTTCAATAACCAATCAATAGAAGATGAAACTCTATTTCCAAGCCAACACCAGAGAGAATAATGAAAAATTAAGATTAGATAAGCTTATCTTTTGGCATATTTTGCTGGAAAACATGATAGAGGGATAGAATAAGAATAGGTCATTATTCAGTTGTCTCAAAGTGTGTACATGCAGAGTAAAGTGTACATCCCACGATGACTCATTTCTACTTTGTAACATGCTACTCTAAACGCACTAGAATAAAATTTTCTCTCTCGTGGTTCTATTGGTTGACCGCTGAGCTCTTCCCCCCCTATTAGGGCATCTGTGTGTTTGCAGGCGACCAGTAGATAACATGAGCCAACTGAAAGTTCCAGTAAGCAGGCTGCTTAGGGAACCTCATTCAGACGGCTAGCAGTTGCTGCTGACTGAGAGTCGAGCTGGGGCTCTTTCTTTTCTCTGCTTAGGTTTCTTATAAGACACTGGCTGATTTGAAAATGGAGCTTTTGGTCCATTCAAAGGCTGTGTTATCAGCTGTAACATTTACCTAATGTTCATGACTAATGCAATTGTTGTATCTTCTAAAGAAATAAATTCTATTTCTTATCGCCATTCAATGGTTTGGACCCAGAATGCTATGCCTGCCAGATAAGCCACTATGTTTGAACTGCAGAGCCCTAGGCCTAAATTCTAACTCTTGCTCGTTGAGTGGCAAGGTCACGCCGAGGAAGGGCGCATGTAAATGGGAGATCACACAGGAAACACAACCCCATGCAATGGGCTGGTAAGTTTCTGTACCCGAAGTACTCTAGATGCAAAAATTATGAGATAAGATCTACTGGGTTTCTTAAATGATACTTTGGAATAAAGCACACCATAATGCATATGAAATAATACACATTTAATAAGAGCAAAGTCCCTCAAAATTTTAATAAGGGTTTTATGAGATTATTTAATCTACATATTATTCTTAGAATATTAACTTCTCAAGACAACTTGGATTGTTTTACAATGACCATAAGTTCCATCATAACCAGATGAGAGAAACCAGTGCATATTTAATACTTATTAATCAATACAAAATAACTACTAAACTTAATTTCATGCTCACTTTTAAAAATAAATTTCAAAAAACATTGAAGAGCAATAAAAAGGAATCAATGCAAGCAATCTTTGATGTGTAGAGCCCTGAAACATGTCATTTTTCCTTTTGTTTCTCTTAGAAGCTGCCAGTTTCTTCAATTCAACCTTCTGCTTCTTTATCTGTCTCTCTAGATTTAAATAGCTCATGAATTTAGGCAACATGTCTACCTTCTTGGCCACTGTGATCATTATGTCTGGCACATAACAAATGTTAGAGAAAAGGCTGACATCAGACATCAGCCATGTGCCTTAAGCTTCTAAGGCACTGTGTGAGTCACCTTGTCTTTAACACTCAAGACTTCTTTAAAAAAACACCTCCCCTAAAGCCTTGTGTGATGTAAGCATAGTTACTGTAGGGAGGGCGGGTTCTCCTGATTAGAGACGTCACAGAAAGAGATGAAGTCGGTGGCAAGGAACCAGTTGAGTTGCTTAAGATGCTTTTAAAATGATTTATGGTTTATAACAAAACTGTATTTGAGTGATAATGCCAGACATAAAACAGAATCTGGAGAAACGCCTAGAAGCAAAGAGCGTGTGAGTTACTTAGAGACCGCTGCCTCGTGTACTGCTTTCTCTCAGAGGGTCTGTCTCCACTGCAGTTACCTGCACAGAAGGCAGAGCGCCGCGATGGCCAGCGTGACTAGGATCGCCAGGGCCACGAACGCTGCCGACAGGTTACTTCTGCTTTGGATGCTGGCGCTTGGGAGAAAAACCTCTTCGCAACGAGCTCCTGTGTAATTCTCAATGCACCTATAGGATAGAAGTTCAGATAAAGATTAAATCCGTGCCCTACGTGGATGTGGACAACATAAAGTCCCCAGCCGGAATGAAGGGAAAGGCCTCGTCTGCGTTTCAGTCTGTGAATGTGGAGCAGACACTGGAAGTGACGCTCAAAGAGCCGCGGGTAGAGACAAATGCATTACGGTACACCTGCCTCCCTCTCTTTCCAGCTCTTCGCAGCTTAGAACCGAGAGGACCTGGGTAGTGTTCAGACTCCACGTGCAGACAGCGTCGATGCCTTCTAGGCTTGTCTTGCCTTCCTGACAACTTTTGCAGATGTGTCTTGCAATATTGTTCTAGTTGTCCTCAACCCCCTGACTCAAATGATCCTCCTGCCTCAGCTTTCCAAGTAGCTGGGACTGCAGAGCTTAAAGTCTGCATTTTCAATGGTGTAACTGTCAGTATGTAACTCAAATTCATCTGCAATTTATTGTATTTTACATAGATGTGTAAAGGAATGCAACTTTTCCTCAAAATTCTCATTTCTCCCAAACTCAGAGTTGTTGAGCATGACATCCCCTCCCTACTGCTCAGCGGTGCCTTCTGGAACACACGTCAGCTTTATATGACTAACAGCATTTCTATTTTTCTTCAGTGACAACACGAAACAGCAAAGGATACCACAAGGCCTCTGGTATAAGCAGCCAGCTCCTTTCCCCTCTTAACACACTTAAAGGATTAATATACATTAATAAGAATTATGCTGTTCGGCATCCCATCAATTTATGTTCCAGTTGAACGTAAAATAAAAATATTTTAGCTGGAAATGGTGACACACAACTGTAGTCTTAGCGCTTGGTAAACTGAGGCAGAAGGATCCACTAAAACTTGAGGTCAGCCTGGGCTACTTGATGAGTTTTAGGCCAGGCCAGGTTGGAGTGTGAAACGCTATCTCAAAAAAATATTTTTTTTTTCCTTTTCAATATGAACATTTATTTACAAAGTAACTCAAGAAGTTATGTAGGAAATTCACAAAGTATATGTAATAAAATGAGTGTGGCCAGGCAGTGGTGGCACATCCTTTAATCCCAGCACTCAGGAGGCAGAGGCAGGCGGATTTCTGTGAGTTCGAGGCCAGCCTGGTCTACTAGAGCTAGTTCTAGGACAGGCTCCAGAGCTACAGAGAAACCGTCTTGAAAAACTAAAAAAAATAAAATAAAAAAAAAGAAAGAAAGAAAGAAAAAGACTGTGCGCACATACACACACACATACATACATACTTTATTCTTTTACCAAAAAAAAATGAAAGAGTAATTTTGTAAAATTAATTTTCCTCCTCCCCTTTTTCAGGTATTTAGTCAGGTATTTAGAAATCTATTCTGTCTCCCACTTACATTGATAAGGACAGCAAGCCTAGAACATTCCATGTGAACTAATTGGCTTTAGCAGCTAATGTGACAGGATAACCAATGGCCACATATAAATAAGGGGGGGACAGTAATTTTAGCACATGGAGTGATTTTGGTGACCAAATAGCCGGTGTTTTATGAGCCTCATGTCACCCTGATGAAGGCAGGAGGTTGCTGCTGTTGGCTTCGCGGGGGGCTTTAAACAGTGCAGCTGCTGTCCGAAATTATCACAAAGAATGGCTTGTAGAGACAGGAAAGGAATACGAGGGCAAGGTATAAGCGAAGCATCAGGTAAGAAGTATTTGGGGAAAAGCTCATAATTACTTACAGTACAAACATTAAAATACGATTTTTCCTTGGGCTGGAGAGATGACTCAAGTGGTTAAGAACACTGACTGCTCTTCCAGAGGACCTGGGTTCAATTCCCACTACTCACATGGAGGCTCACAACCATCTATACCTCCAGTCCTTGAGGACCTAATGCCTTCTTCTGGCCTCTGCACCAGACACGCACACGGTGCAGGCAGGCAGACATGCCAACAAATCACTCACACACATCAGATAAATGAGGAAAATGTGAATGTACTATTATTTCCATAGACTAAATTAAACACACACAAAAAGAAAAAAGATAAGTAAAAATTCATTTAATTCTTCTCTAATTTTACTTCCCACTTCCCAGGACAGACAGACAGACAGATACACACACACGCACTCTTCAGAACACAGCATCATAAACTGTAGTTCATATCCTTGTATGAGGTCACATAACTTAGTGTGTGGGGTTATGAAAAATTTGGCAACAATAAAAGAGTTCTGAACAGGCAAAGACCACAGCGCAATGTGCAGTAAAATTGTTGGCGGTTCTGGCAGGGCTCATGTCCTCTCGAGGCAGCCTGTCCCTGCAGCTTCATTCTGCACACACACCACACACACACTTTACACTGCACATGGAGTCGTCACGCAGCTCCGAGAGTTGCTGCCTGTTCCGCCTCGGCTCTGTTTTAAGGTCATTGTATGTTATAAACTGTCTCATTTTTATTGTGCATACAAAGGAATGACAGGAAACAAAGGTTTTGATATTTTCCTACTGTTGTTCCTTAGCATGAAAATATCAAAAGAGTATATCTTTGGACAGTACTGTTAGAACATTTGAATTTAAAATTGGCATTTAACTTGCTAACTTTTTTATAAAAGGTAGTTAAATGAATTTTGGCTTGGGGTTGGGATAGAATTTCCAGTAATTTCTGAAAGGGTCCTAAACATGCTTCTATCATTCTGTACTACAAATCGTGGTGAAGAAGTTTCTGCATTGAGGATCAAAGTTTCCATTAGTTATGAAAAGTGTTGAAGATGCTTCATAGCATTCAGTAACAAATACTCAGCTAAGGCTTAATTTTTTCTGCAAAAATAAGTAAGCACAAAAAAATAAAAATAAAAAAATAAGTAAGCACGTGCATCCCATTAGTATGTAAATTTGCTTTAAAACTAATAAATGGAAAAATTATTTTAGCCAAGAATTGTTTTAAAATACAAATTCTTGGCACGCATTATAATTTTATATACTTATCTACCTCGAGTCAGGGAGAAATGTCTTCGGAGAAAAGGGGTAGTGGGTGGGTGGGAGAGTTGATTAGCTTACTAATCAACTACCTACCCTAGAGAGTAACCCTGTGGGCCCATGACATCCAACACACACAGTATGAAAAAACTCAGGAAGAGGTAGGTTTCCATGAGATAAAACCCTGCTGTAAATTCATTCCAAAAGTTGTTCTAGAGGCATGAAAAAGGAATAAAAACTCCCCCATGATTTCCTTAAAATTATTTTCTATTTAAATAGAATTCGGTTAACATATATGCCTTACAGAAGATTTTAAAAAGAAAGAAAACTTTAGCCATTAAGGGAAAGTCCTGGACAGTCTCGGAATGAAATGTGTAGAAAAAGTTCAGTCATTAGATCAGGACTGAAGCAGACAGGAAAAGGTATGGGAGAGAGAGAAGAAATCAATGGATTTCCTTACCATGCATACTGGCAAGAAAGTAAAATACTGATGGAAATCTTAAGCAAAATAACATCAAGAAAAAACCCAAACCTTGTCATTCTTCACCTCATTAAAAGAGAACTCTGAGAAAGGCAGAGAGTGTACTTTGGGTTACTGCTGGGTTAGCCTACTGGTGAATTTTTTTTTCCAGGTATTTATTATATAAACAAGGGAACACTGCGTGCCCAGTGCTGTGCACAAGAAGTCTGTTCTGAAAGCTCTAACTTACTTATGAAAATGTTATGGCCTTGATTGTAACACAAATGTTAGATTTAAAGCAAACGTAAGTTGGGGAGAGCAGAGTGCAGACACAGTGGACCGGGACTAGAGCTAGTGTGCTCTGAAGAAAGGCACAGACAGGCCAAGTGCTACAGCAGCATTTGCACAGAGCTAAGCAGCCTCTGTTTTTATGGAATTAACTCTTAGTAAAGTATTTCTGGGGTTTACTTCTATACTGCCAAGTACCAAGAGGCTGTGTCATCGAATTTGGTAAACACCATATGATAAAACTCTTTCCTGGAACTAAAGATGAATGCTGGAAAGGGTACAAATGCCCAGTGACACGGGAACCTTCCAGACTCAGAAACCACATTATACAGCGGTCTTCCAGATGCACTGAGAGTCTCACTGTCAGTATAGAAGCCGTCTTTAATACGCTGGGCGCGAGAAGAGTTCATCTGATTATAGTGATCAGGGAAAGTTGTTACGACACTGAAGGCCTTCAGCAAGAGTGAAGGAATCAAACTTCCTTGTGGGACTGAGACAGGAGGATTAGTTGGGCTCAAAGCCAGTCTGGACATTTGGCGGTGACCCTTTTCAGAAACAAAAACAACCAAGAAGTTGTGACTCCTGAACAGAGCTGTGTTGCAAAGAACGAACGCTGGACTTCAGGCTGAAAGAGCTAGTTCCCTGACCCCCTCGTGCTTGCTGTGTATGCCACTTAAGCGTTATGATTTTTAAAAGTACTGGGGCTGGAGAGATGGCTCAGCGGTTAAGAGCACTGACGGCTCTTCCACAAGCCCTGAGTTCAATTCCCAGCAACCACGTGGTGGCTCACAACCATCTGTAATGAGATCTGGTGCCTTCTTCCGGTCTTCAGGCATACATGCAGCAGAACATTGTATAAACAAAAGTCTTAAACAAAAAAAGTTTAAAAGTACTTATTTATTTTACATCCCAATCACAGTTTCCCCTCCCTCCTCTCCTCCCAGTCTCTCCCCCTACCTCCCCCGGCCCCCATCCACTCCTCCTGTCTCTATTGTCACTCAGGCTTTAAAACACAAAGTCAAAGTAATGACTTCCGCCTCAATTATTTCATTCAGCCATTTTCACCAACAAGACACCTAGCCGTGTCCTAGGCTAGCACGACAGCGTACAGGTAAAAGAGGAATGTCTCTTTACCAAAGCCACGTTTACACCAATGCTGGACTCCAGGCAGGAAACTAGGAGCACGGTGGTCAATAAACACGACTATTACAGCCCCCGAAACAAGACACAAGTACCACGCCCCAAGAGTCACTAACGAAGGAAGACTCAACACCAATGCCATGTCATTCAGACAGAGATACCCTGGGAGAAA